TAGGGTATTTTAATTGTATTAGTAAAGCTTATTTTTGGCTGTTCTGTCGGCCCATTATAAAATATTTTGTTTGCTTTGTTAATTGCTTTTTCGATTACATACGCGGGATGCACGAGACTTTCTAATTGTTGGCGGATCAATTTGAATTCGTATTTCAAATGATGAGTGGAACACACTCTAAGACCTCTTAGGAAAAGATAGCATGCAACACCAGTTTTTTCCGACAAAGCATGATAACTTAGAAAGTGTATATAAGAGACAGAGAAAGCTTTCTTCCTATAGACAGTACATGAGTATTTGTTGGGTTCTCTCATAATTAAGACATCCAAAAATAGTAGCTTGCCATCCGTTTCCCATTCGGTTTTAAACTTGATGCTAGGGATTAAATCATTAACCTTATTAAAAAATGGTCTTCCTAAAACTCACAAAGACGACATTCCTTTATGCCCCATAATACCATGCAAGGGTTCTTTCATATATAAGATTTTCAAAAGGCTGGCAAGTCTTCTTTCCCCCTTTTGGGGATCATTTTCTTCATCTCATCTTAAACATTCAGAAGATTTCATTAATTAATTTGCTAACTCAAATATTCCCTGAAGTAATGTAAAGCTCCTTAGTTTAGACGTAGAATCTTTGTTCACTAAAGTTCCAGTAGATGATGTTTTACAGTTCCTTAGCGTTTAACTGATTCCCATTGCCGAGTATTTTCCACTAGGTCTTGAAAAATAACATGGACTTACTTAAGTTATGCGTCACTAATAATGTTTTTTTCCTTTAATGGTAGGTTTACATGCAAAAATTTGGATGTAGGATGGGAAGCCCCTTGTCCCCCCTTCTGGCTAACTTGCGTATGGAGTTCTTTGAGACAGAGATTCTAGTCAGCATTAAGCCCAAAGGAATGATATGGTTGCGATATGTAGGTGATATATTTTCATATTGGGACTAGCGTTGGGGAGAATTTGAAATTTTTTTTAATAAGCTCAATGATTTAGTCCCTAGCATGAAGTTTAAAACCGAATGGGAATTGGATGGCAAGCTACCATATTTGGATGTCTGTAATATGAACATAGTGGCCTCCAGATAGAATGCGTTCATTCCTAAGTATAGCAGATATAAGCTATAAGGTCTGAGTCCTTTTAAAATTCTGTGTTGTAGTTGGTAGCGACTTGACTTAGTAATTATAAGTTCTAGGTTCAAGTCCCGGTAAGGGGAAAAATTATTCATGTTTTCACATATGTAAAGTGCTTATTTGGTTATTCTTGGTCCCGAATGAAATTGGGATTTGAATTAAATGCGAAAATGAAGCCACGAGTGAGGTAGAGGAATCTGTAATATGAACATAGTGGCATTCAGATAGAATGCGTTCATTCCTAAGTATAGCTGATATAAGCTATAAGGTCTGATTCATTTTAACCTTCTGTGGTGTGTAGTTGGTAGCACCTTGACTTAGTAATTATATGTCCTGGGTTAAAGTCCCGGTCGGGATAAAAAAATATCCATGTGTTCACATATGTAATGTGCTTATTAGGTTATACTTGGTCCCGAATGAGATTGGGAGTTGAAATGAATGCTAAAACGAAGCCACGAGTGAGGTTGGGGAATCTGTAATATGAAGATAGTGGCATTCAGATAGAATACGTCCATTCCTAAGTATAGCGAGATAAGGTCTGATTCCCTTTAACCTTCTGTGGTGTAGTTGGTAACTGCCTTGACATAGTAATTATAAGTCCTAAGCATAAGTCACGGTAAGGGGAAAAATTATTCGTGTTTTCACATATGTAATGTGCTTATTTGTTTATTCTTGGTCCCGAATGAGATTGGGAGTAGAATTAGGTGCGAAAATTAAGCCACGAGTGATGTTGAGGAATCTGTAATATGAACATAAGGGCATTCAGATAGAATGAGTTCATTCGTAAGTATAGCAGATATAAGCTATAAGGTCTGAGTCCTTTTAACCTTCTGTGGTGTAGTTGGTAGTGCCTTGGCTTAGTAATTATAAGTCCTAGGTTCGAGTCCCGGTAGGGGAAAAATTATTCATGTTTTCACATATGTAATGTGCTTATTTGGTTTTTCTTGGTCCCGAATGAGATTGGGAGTTGAATTAAATGCGAAAATGAAGCAACGACTGAAGTTGGAGAATGTGTAATATGAACATAGTGGCATTCAGATAGAATGTGTTCATTCCTAAGTATAGCAGATATAAGCTATAAGGTCTGAGTCTTTTTAACCTACTGTGGTGTAGTTGGTAGCTCCTTGACTTAGTAATTATAAGTCATAGGCTCAAGTCACGGTCGGGAGAAAAATATATTTATTTTTTCACATATATAATGTCCTTATTTGGTTATTCTTGGTCCCGAATGAGATTGGGAGTTGAATTAAATGCGAAATTGAAGCCACGAGTGATGTTGAGGAATCTGTAATATGAACATAAGGGCATGCAGATAGAATGCGTTCATTCGTAAGTATAGCAGATATAAGGTATAACTGAGTCCTTTTAACCTTCTGTGGTGTAGTTGGCAGTGCTTTGAATTAGTAATTATAAGTCCTAGGTTCGAGTCCCGGCAGGGAAAAAAATTATTCATGTTTTCACATATATAATGTGCTTATTTGGTATTTCTTGGTCCTGAATGAGATTGGGAGTTGAATTAAATGTCAAAATGAAGCAACGAGTAAGGTTGTGGAATGTGTAATATGAACATAGTGGCATTCAGATAGAATGCGTTCATTCCTAACTATAGCAGATATAAGCTATAAGGTCTGTTTCCTTTTAACCTTCTGTGGTGTAATTGGTAGTGCCTTGACTTAGTAATTATACGTCCTAGGTTCAAGTCCAGGTCGAAGAAAAAAATTATTCATGTTTTTACACATGTAATACTTATTTGGTTAACCTCCGTCCGAATGAGATTAGGAGTTAAATTAAATGCGAAAAGGAAGCCACAAGTGAGGTTGAGGAATCTGTAATATGAACATAGTGGCATTCAGACAGAATGCTTTCACTCCTAAGTAAAACAGATATAAGCTATAAGGTCTGATTCTTTTTAACCTTCTGTGGTGTAGTTGGTATCGCCTTGACTTAGTAATCATAAGTATTAGGTTCAAGTCCCGGTGGGGGCAAGAGATTATTCATGTTTTCACATATGTAGTGTGCTTACTTGGTTATTCTTTATCTCGAATGAGATTGGGAGTTGAATTAAATGTGAAAATGAAACCACGAGTGAGGTTGGGGAATCTGTAATATGAACATAGAGGCATTCAGATAGAATGCGCTCATTCTTAAGTATAACAGATATAAGCTATAAGGTCTGAGTCCTTTTACCCTACTGTGGTGTAGTTGGTAGCACCTTGACTTAGTAATTATATTGCCTACGTTCAAATCCCGGATAGGGCAAAAAATTATTCATGTTTTCATATATGTAAAGTGTTTATTTTCTTATTCTTGGTCCCGAATAAAATTGATAGTTGAATTAAATACGAAAATGAAACCACGAGTGTGGTTGGGGAATCTGTAATATAAACACACTGGCATTCAGATAGAATGCGTTCATTCCTAAGTATAGCAGATATAAGCTATAAGGTCTGAGTACTTTTAACCTACAGTGGTGTGTAGTTGGTAGTGCCTTGACTTAGTAATTATAAGCCCTAGGGTCAAGTCCCGGTAAGGGGAAAAAATTCTTCACGTTTTCATATATGTAAAGTGTTTATTTGGTTATTCTTGGTCCCAAATAAAATTGAAAGTTGAATTAAATGCGAAAATGGAACCAAGAGTGATGTTGGGGAATGTGTAATACGAACATAGTGGCATTCAGATAGAATGCGTCCATTCCTAAGTATAGCTGATATAAGCTATAAGGTCTGATTCCTTTTAAGCTTCTGAGGTGTGGTTGGTGGCGCCTTGACTTAGTTATCATAAGTCCTAGGTTTTACTCCTGGTAGGGGTAAAAAATTATTCATGTTTTCACATATGTAATGTGCTTATATGGTTATTCTTGGACCCGAATGAGATTGGGAGTTGAATTAAATGCGAAAATGAAGCCACGAGTTATGGTGGGGAATCTGTAATATAAACATAGTGACATTCAGATAGAATGCGTTCATTTCTAAGTATAGCAGATATAAGCCATAGGGTCTGATTCCCTTTAACCTTCTGTGATGTAGTTGGTAACGCCTTGACTTAGTAATCATAAGTCCTAGGTTCAAGTGCCGGTCGTGGTAAATAATTATTCATGTTTTAACATATGTAATGATTATTTGGCTATTCTTGGTCCCGAATGAGATTGGGAGTTGAATTAAATTCAAAAATGAAGACACGCGGGAGGTTGGGGAATCTCTAATATGAACATAGTGGCATTCAGATAGAATGCGTTCATTCCTAAGTATAGCAGATATAGCTATAATATATGATTCCTTTGAACCTTCTGTGGAGTTGTTGGTAGTGCCTTGATTTAGAAATTATACGTCCTAGGTCCAAGCCCTGGTCAGGGTAAAAAATTATTCATGTTTTTATATATGTAATGCGCTTATTTGGTTATTCTTGGTCCCGAATGAGAGGGAGAATTGAATTAAATGCGAAATTGAAACCACGAGTGATGTTGGGGAATCTGTAATATGAACATAGTAGAATTCAGATAGAATGCTTTCATTCCTAAGTATAGCAGATATAAGTTATAAGGTCTGGTTCCTATTAACTTTCTTTGGAGTAGTTGGTAGCGCCTTGACTTAGTAATTATATGTCCTAGGTTCAAGTCCCGGTTGGGGTAAAAAAATATTCATGTGTGCCACGAGTAAGGTTGGGGAATCTGTAATATGAATATAGTGGCATTCAGATAGAATGCGTTCATTCCTAAGTATAGCTGATATAAGCTATAAGGTCTGATTCATTTTACCCTTCTGTGGTGTGTAGTTGGTAGCACCTTGACTTAGTAATTATATGTTCTGGGTTAAAGTCCCGGTCGGGATAAAAAAATATCCATGTGTTCACATATGTAATGTGCTTATTAGGT